GTATAATAAACCCCAATCAACCATCGCTACTATTGGTGGTACAGCTGCTGCTGCTGCTGTACCACCGTCAGCTGCTGCTGCACTGTCAGCTGCTGCTGCACTGTCAGCTGCTGCTGCTGTACCACCGTCAGCTGCTCCTGCTGCTGTAGTACCGTCTGCTGCTGCTGTAGCATCGTCTGCTGCTGCTGTAGCATCGTCTGCTGCTGCTGTAGCATCGTCTGCTGCTGCTGTAGCATCGTCTGCTGCTGCTGTAGCATCGTCTGCTGCTGCTGTAGCATCGTCTGTTGCTGCTGTAGCATCGTCTGTTGCTGCTGTACCACCGTCAGCTGCTGCTGCTGCTGTAGCATCGTCTGCTGCTGCTGCTGCTGTAGCATCGTCTGCTGCTGCTGTAACATCGTCAGTTGCTGCTGTAGCATCGTCTGCTGCTGCTGTAGCATCGTCTGTTGCTGCTGTACCACCGTCAGCTGCTGCTGCTGCTGTAGCACCGTTGTTGGTGTGGCTTATTGAGAATACCAAGAAACAATTAACCCCAGAGGATTTGCCACCCAGGATAGCCCAAAAAAGTCAGTGTCATCGAAGACTGTCTAACTTATTTCCATTGGGGTCCTTAATCTTGTCTCCCAGGATGCAACCCACACCAGTCGACTAACACCCAGGTGAACAGGGAAAATGCCTGGAACTAGTGCTCATATTGGTGAATTTAGAGCTAGCAAAGGTTGGTTTGAGAGATTTAAGAATCGTAGTGACATACACAGTGTGATAAGGCCTGTTCTGGAAGAAAATACCAAACAGGACCTACAGTACTCAGGAGGAAAAGGCACTCCCAGGACACAGTGTCTCATCAGTCATTGCTGCATCTTCAATAAAGGTAAGTGTCATTTATTCTTCATTTAGTAGAGTAGTACATGCACAATATATATTGTGCATGTACTACTCTACTATTGTGCATGTATCCTTCTCTTTGTGTGTAGGAAAATGTATATTTCATGTGGTAAAAATTTTTTTTTCATGCTTTTGGGTGTCTTGCACGGATTAATTTGATTTCCATTATTTCTTATGGGGAAAATTCATTCACATACCGAACATTTCGCATAACAGCCAGCCCTCTTGCACGGATTAAGGTCGCTATGCGGGGGTCCACTGTACTGTAATGTTAGTGCTGATCTCAGGCAATTCTAAGAAAATTTTAACAGAATGCATAGGCACCACACCTGAAAAAATACCTCTGATATCCCCAGTGTTCAGCTGAACATTACAGAATCCCTACATAAATTAAAGGGCCAAAGATGTGGAATGACTTACCAAACAAACTGAAAAATTATAAGATTCTTACTGAATTCAAAAGTAAGCTAAAACAAACACTGTGCCTATATAATGAGTAAAATTATTTACTCTACCATATACAGTTGACCATCAGTTAATACGGTAGAAGACAATAATAATTCCCATAGATTACATTTCTGAAAACTGCTACTAATGATTTCCACAACTTATGGACTGAAAAACATGGAAAACAAATGGGTTGCATTCTTCAGACCCCCAAGAGCACTTACAACAAATTTTTGTGGTGTCATAAAAAACAAGTTTTTTCTTACCTAACATTGTCAATTATGATGCTTGGTGAACTACTTGAACTCTTGTGAGGTTCAGACAGTTAAAATAAAGTATATTAGCTAAAAATGGTAACATTAATACAGTGGACCCTCAGTTATCGGCCGTTCCTGTTATCGGCCAACTCGGTGATCGACCGGTTTTTCGGCTCCCGGTGATCAGCCATTTCGGACACGTCCATCCGCTGGCTGAGGCCATTTGCGCGCGTCAGTTTGGCTGTCTCTCTCGGTGTGTGAGGAAGCTTCTGCTCATACATCCAAACATTTTGCTTGTTTTCCATTGTTTTTTGTGGTAAAGAAAGTGAGAAACACAATGGAATTTAAGCATGAAGTGTAGCAGGCATGCAGGGAGTGTGGCAGGATGCAGGAAGTGGAGCAGGCATGCAGGGAGTGTAACCGGCATGCAGGGAGTGTAGCAGGCATGCAGGGAGTGTAACCGGCATGCAGGGAGTGTAGCAAGCATGCAGGGAGTGTAGCAGGCATGCAGGGAGTGCAGCAGGCATGCAGGGAGTGCAGCAGGCATGCAGGGAGTGTAGCAGGCATGCAGGGAGTGCAGCAGGCATGCAGGGAGTGTAGCAGGCATGCAGGGAGTGTAGCAGACATGCAGGGAGTGTAGCAGACATGCAGGGAGTGCAGCAGGCATGCAGGGAGTGCAGCAGGCATGCAGGGAGTGCAGCAGGCATGCAGGGAGTGTAGCAGGCATGCAGGGAGTGTAGCAGGCATGCAGGGAGTGTAGCAGGCATGCAGGGAGTGTAGCAGGCATGCAGGGAGTGTAGCAGACATGCAGGGAGTGTAGCAGACATGCAGGGAGTGTAGCAGGCATGCAGGGAGTGTAGCAGGCATGCAGGGAGTGTAGCAGGCATGCAGGGAGTGTAGCAGGCATGCAGGGAGTGTAGCAGGCATGCAGGGAGTGTAGCAGGCATGCAGGGAGTGTAGCAGGCATGCAGGGAGTGTAGCAGGCATGCAGGGAGTGTAGCAGGCATGCAGGGAGTGTAACAGGCATTCCAGAAACCAGCACAAGTCTTCAATAAAGGTAAGCAATACTAATTTAATTGTTAAAAAAATTATTTTTTTGTGAATATTTTTCTCTGGAACGGATTAATTCTTATGGGAAACATTATTTCAGTTTTAGGCCGAGCTTCTGGAACGGATTACGGCCGATAACCGGGGTCCACTTATTGTACATTATTACTTACCTTCAAGTTGCAAGCCCTTATCTTTGCTTCATTGTCTCAAACTGACCAAATCATTGATTCTCTAACATCACACGCGTTATCTCCATGATACGTGCACCACCTTTCAGCATCTCTAGTTTTTTTCAAAATAAACATTGGTTTCACACTTAATCATCTTCCTTACTTCACAAGCATCACAGGCACTTCTTAGGAAGTCAAGATAAATACCCAGAGATGAGATGGGATGATGAAAAGATAAAAATGAGAATTGTACACTGAGCTACAATCATACAGCATACATTCAGACACAAAAGCATGGGAGTCTTTGGCAACATCCCATTACCATCCCTCACACTCCCCAGCAGTCCATTAAGCAATGGACTTGCTTAATGTGTCTTGGTGAGGTCTCAGTCCTGCCTGCTGTAGCGCTTATCAGAAATAGCGCCACTAATGGAAATGAATTCTGCTCTAGTAATCCTTAACAAAAATGGCCACCACCGATGGAAATTAATTCCACTACTACATGCCTCAGTGGAAATGGGTGCACTATTACTGAAAATGAAAACCTTAATTTAAATTTTATACTGAAACACAAGCTACAATCATGCAACTTAAGATTTTCTACCATATTCTTAAATGGAAAAAATGACCAGCTTTACTGCCCAATAACAATACTTAAATGTCATTTTATTAACCCTTTGACTGTCGCAACCCCAAATCCTGAGGTGCCTCCTGGTGTCGCAAAATATTTGAAAAAAAAAAAAAATCTTATCAAATGATAGAGAATCTTTTCCCGATTGTAATGACACCAAAAGTATGAAATTTGACAGAAAACTTACGGATTTACACTCTCGTGAAGTTAGCAACCTTGGCAATATTTACAAATTGGTGATTTTGCCCGCTTTGAGCCCTATTTTTGGCTAATTCCATTGTTCCAGTCGACCAAACTCTCAGCCATTTCTTTAGAACTCCACTTGTTTTATCGATTGAGTACAAGAAACTGCCCATTTACAAATTTCAACTACCTAATAAAGTGGTCAGAAATTGGCAATTTGGCCAATTTCATGCAAATTAAAAAATATGCCAATTTCAAAACAGGATCCAGAATGAGCAATGCAGACATTCCTGGCTCTAAAATAACATTTTCTTAGTTCATCAGCCATGTCTCCAGGCCCCTCTGATATTACTCTTGCTTTCCATTTTGAATTTTTATTCAAACAAAAAAATAGGAGATTTATTGTTAAGCAGACAAATGCAATATTGTAATGTAATTGTATAAATAATGTCAACCCATTCATGACTGCATATCAGAATGGCTAGTTGGACATTTATTGGACAATGACGTCATTTGTTTACTCTTGAACATCGGCAAAAATCAAACATTTCCCCTACTTTGAGCTCCATTTCAAGGTCCTTTTCATAGTAAAACCAAACAAAATCACCTCTATGCATTTCTATATGTTTTCCACTCTATCGAATGTGACTACGAAAATGAGAATATAACTATAAAAACTATATGAAAATATACCTCAAAGTCGGCGTTTTAATCCAAAAACACGGTCAGAGTGTTTTTTTTTCTCAATGTGCACTGCTTGCTGCAGGTTTTTTTTTTATACTGCACACACTGACCACACAGACCCACTCTCTCACATGTGGGCCTACCAGCTTTCTCATGCTCGATTCAAAGCTGCCAGAATTTTTGAGTACATATACGTCAAGCACATTGGATCGTAAGACGTATATATATATGACCGAAACAGTCAAAGGGTTAAGATACACAAGATTTGAAAATTGAGATTGACTCGCAAAGCAGAGATCAAAGAGGAGAAAGAAACAGCGTGACCAACCACTATGGATCTCTCCCTTATAGGGAGATGGATAATTTTTTTTTTTTTTTTTTTTTTTTTACAAATTGGCAGTCTCCCACCAAGGCAGGGTAACCCCAAAAAGAAAATCCCCAAAAAGAAAATACTTTCATCATCATTCAACACTTTCACCTCACTCACACATAATCACTGTTTTTGCAGAGGTGCTCAGAATACAACAGTTTAGAAGTATATGCATATAAAGATACACAACACATCCCTCCAAACTGCCAATATCCTAAACCCCTCCTTTAGAGTGCAGGCATTGTACTTCCCACTTCCAGGACTCAAGTCCGGCTATATAAAATACTGTATATTGACTAATTCATATCAAACTATAAAACACCAACCTTAACATGCCTCTGAGTTGAGGATCTGATACTATTTTGGTTGATGATGGAAAGTAGGTTGTGAGATTCCGTAATCTATCAATTTGAGTCGAGGTCCAGGTTCTTAGCGAGCTGCTGATTTCCTGAAAGAGTATTATTATTACTTACTGAATAACAAAATGCTGAAGATAACACACCGTGTACAATGTAATCAAGACATGTAAAGAATTATAATTAGCCAGTCCTACTTATTCACTACAAACAGAATAGCAAAACCAAAAACACCAGCAGAGTACAAGGAACCTAACATGATTGAAAACAAGTGAAAAACTTAAACCTCGAAAGATTATGTTAAATGTGCTTTATCTCCATAAACAGATGCCACCGCTACAAATACCATCAATGCATCGCTGCTTGAATTAAGACATCACATCTCTTGAATTAATGACTACAAACTATACCACAGGAGACCTATCACATTTTAGCAATCATACAATATGACTAGAGGCAGAGGTAAGGCAAATGGGCCAAAATATAGCCACCAAAACACTGAAGACACAGCATCGTATACCCCTGTGGGAGCAGATGCCAGGCAGTTCACAATGGCAATCAAAACATTCCTCTGGTTTCAGAGGATTTACCACTGAACATCAACCCAAAGAACCTCTATTAACAATTAAAATATAAGATGAAGCAATACTAAAATTTCAAGATTCAGTAGAACATCACATAATGCAAGAGCTACTTTCCTGAAATAGATATTGTATGAGATTATGTACTATGGTTTAGGCTCCGGACTCCACCTATAAAAAAAAAAAAAAAAAAAAAAAGCAACCAAACTTGACCAAATATATTGTAGATGATGATACTTGTTTATCTAGAAGTTTGTGTTTTGTGCCCAAGTCCTAAAAACTTAATAAAAACAAAAAAAAAAACTTAATTAGGTTTGGCAAATACAGTACATAGCATATTCCTTCCAAAGAAAACAGAGTGCTAGTTCCTGGTTATAAAGTATGCTTAAAAATTACCAACAAAGTACTACCCCTACCTTAAGTTCTTTGTTTCTCTTGCTTGTTTATGAAGTGTCTGGAGATTATGCGACTACCAAACAGTAGATGGATGTAATATACGTCTACTTACATTTTATCAGTTGATGCCACTCGTACTTTTCATCTGTTGACACTATCACAGAATTCATTACACAATTTTCTCATTGATAACAGAAATATGGAATAATTTTATCCTACATTAAATTCTTCATTCTCTCTTTTTTTTCTTTTTTAACACGTCGGCAGTTTCCCATCAAGGAAGGGCGACACAAGATAGAAAAACGCAAAAAGAAAGAAAAAACTTTCATCATCATTCAACACTTTCACCATCACTCATACATAATCAGTCTTTGCAGAGGCACTCAGATACGACAGCTTAGACATCCCTTCAAACTGCCAATATCCCAAACCCCTCCTTTAAAGTGCAGGCATTGTACTTCCCATTTCCAGGACTCAAGTCCAGATAACTGGTTTCCCTGAAACCCTTCACAAAACATTACCCTGCTCACACTCCAACAGCTCGTCAGGTTCCAAAAACCATTCGTCTCCATTCACTCCCATTAACATGCTCATGCACGCTTGCTGGAAGCCCAAGCCCCTCACTCACAAAACCTCCTTTACCCCCTCCCTCCAACCTTTTCAGGGATGACCCCTACCCCACCTTCCTTCCCCAACAGATTTAAACACTCTCCAATCATCCTACTTTGTTCCATTCTCTCTAAATAACCAAACCACCTGAACAGCCCCCTCTTCAGCCCTCTCACTAATACTTTTAGTAACTCCACACCTCCTCCTAATTTCCACACTGTGAATTCTCTGCATAATATTTACACTACACTTAGACACGACATCTCCACTGCCTCCAGCCGCCTCCTCACTGCAGCATTTACAACCCATGCTACACACCCATACAAGTGTTGGTACCACTATACTCTCATACCTTCCCTTCTTTACCTCCATGGAAAATGTCCTTTTCTCCACTTTTATCAGCTAATAGATGTGGGTCAGTCTTCTGTTAAGATGAAGAGGGCCATTATCACATATGCTGTATGGAACCAGTCAGCAATGTTTTTTCCCCCTGGCCATATAAATCTTAGAACACGAAAGTTTTCAAGCCTGAGCAACTATTTTAATACTTTTACAGTGCGTGAACTCAGGTAAAACCATGTACGTACTATTTTTTAATATTAATACAACAGCATTTTATTAAAATAAGTACTATGTAGACAAGCACTAAGTTCTGACCGAGCAGTAATTCAGGTAATTTGAAATGTGATGTTTGTGTGAACATACAGTAGAACCCCCATATCCACGGATTTGGTATTCATGGTTTCGGTGATCCACGGTTTACTGTGGACTAAAAATACCTCTTTATCTTGTATAATAATGGAAAAGTAGAAAATCTGGCAGTTCTTCAAAGCCTAAGAGAAACCATGAAGTGCCCGTCAGTGAATAAGTGATAATTCTTCCCTTATTGTGCATAATTTATCAATTGAACTTTATACAGTGGTCCCTCGCTTTTCGTAGTTCTCGGGAATCATATATTTCGGAAATCATAGGGATATTTTCTTATAAACATGGGCTCGCTAATCATAGGTTGACTCACGAATAGTAGTTCGTCCGGGACGCATACGCACGGTGTGAGCCGGGGCGGCCTCCCTACCCAGCCAGTCTGGCATTGTTTACCAGTGAGCGAAGGTCCCCTCACGTGCTCCTACGAAATATTTCATAATATTCCACTCATTTTAGTGCTTGCAAGTACTAAATAAGCTACCATGGCTCCAAAGAAAGCTCCTAGTGCCAAGCCTGTGGTAAAGAAGGTGAGAAATACAATTGAATTTAAGAAAAACACCAATGAACAATATGAAAGTGGCACAAGTGCGGCCGAACTGGCCAGGATGTATAAAAAACCCTACACAACCATGTTCCATAGTGGCCAAGAAAAAGGAAATCAAGGATGCTGTTGTTGCAAAGGGGGTAACTATGCTGACAAAAATGAGATCACCAGTACTCGAAGAGGTTAAGAAGTTATTATTGATGTGGATAAATGAGAAAGAATTAGCAGGAGATACTCTTATGAGTTCGATTATTTGTGAAAAGGCTAGGCAGTTGCACAACGATCTGGTAAAGAAATTTCCTGCAAATAGTGGTGATGTGAGTGAATTTAAGGCCAGCAAAGGTTGGTTTGAGAGATTTAAGAACCGTACTGGCATACACAGTGTGGTAAGGCATGGTGAGGCTGCCAGTTCAGACCACAAGGCGGCTGAAAAGTATGTGCATGAATTCAAGGAGTACATAAACAGTGAAGGACTGAAACCTGAACAAGTGTTCAATTGTGATGAAACGGGCCTCTTTTGGAAAAAAAACCCAAAGAGGACCTTATTACAAGGAGGAAAAGGGCAATGCCAGGACCCCAGCCTTGAAAGACAGGCTGACGCTCATGTTCTGTGTAATGGGGGGGTTTCAAAGTGAAGCCATTACTAGTGACCATTCTAAAAACCCCCAAAAGTTTTAAAAGGAAAAAAAATGTTATGAAGAGTAAATTGTTGGTTTTTTGGAAATTTTTAGTAAGGCATGACCAGAAATCGTAATGACACGATTTAAAAAACCCCACCCCCCACCCGGGGTTGAACCCCGGGCATAGAGTCTCAAAACTCCAGCCCCTCGCGTTTTGCCCCCAGCCCGCTAGCCACAATAAGATTCATCCAACTAGGTATATTTCTACACCATAGGAAGGTTAGCACAGGCACCACTGTGACCACAAATGAAAGTTTTTACAGATGAATCTCCAGCTAGCGTGGCCGTGACAAACTCTAGCTCAAGTCCCTTCACTGCCGTGGTGCCTGTGCTAACCTTCCTATGGTGTAGAAATATACCTAGTTGGATGAATCTTATTGTGGCTAGCTGGTCTAGTGGCTAACGTGACGGGCTGGAGTTTTGAGACTATGACCGCGGGTTCAATCCCGGCCGGGGGTATGGTTTGTTTGCAATCGTGTCATTATGATTTCTTGAGTCATGTTGACGGCAGTGAAGGGACTTGAGCTAGAGTTCGTCACGGCCACGCTAGCTGGAGATTCGTCTGTAAAACTTGCATTTGTGGTCACAATGGTGCCTGTGCTAACCTTCCTATGGTGTAGAAATATACCTAGTTGGATGAATCTTATTGTGGCTAGCTGGTCTAGTGGCTAACGCAACGGGCTGGAGTTTTGAGACTATGACCGCGGATTCAATCCCGGCCGGGGGTATGGTTTAGTAAGGCATGGGTCACGAGGGAAATTTTCGTCGAGTGGTTCAATGAAGTGTTTGGCCCTAGTGTGAAGAATTACCTCCTGGAAAAGAAATTGGATCTCAAGTGCCTGCTAGTAATGGACAATGCACCTGCTCATCCTCCAAACTTGGATGACCTAATTTTTGAGGAGTTTGGGTTCATCACAGTAAAGTTCTTGCCCCCCGAATACCACTCCACTCCTCTCCTCCAGCCCATGGACCAGCAGGTCATTGCAAACTTTAAAAAAGTCTACACAAAAGCAATGTTTCACAGGTGCTTGACTGTGACCACAGACACTCCCTTGACCCTAAGGGAATTTTGGAGAGAACACTTCAGCATCCTCCATTACATAACCCTTATAGGTATGGCTTGGGAAGGAGTGACTACCAGGACTTTGAACTCTGCCTGGAGAAAATTGTGGCCAGATTGTGTCGACAAGAGGGATTTTGAAGGGTTTGGGACTGACCCTGATGAGCCTATGTCTGTTGTTAAATCAATTGTGGCACTGGGGAGTTCCATGGGGTTGGATGTGAGTTTTGGAGGATGGGAAGAATTGGTGGAAGACCACAACGAAGAGCTCACCACTGAGGAGCTGCAAGAGCTTCAGCAGGAACAGCAACAGATCGCAGCTCAGAATCTTGCTGCAAAGGAGGAGGAAAGAGATGGAAGAAGGTGCCTTCTTTAGAAATTAAAGAGATTTTTGCTATGTGGGGTAAGATGGAAAGCTTTATGGAGAAACATCACCCTGACAAGGGTTTTTGCAAGCCATGTTGGCAACATGTACAGTGACAGCCTTGGGCCCCTTTTAGGGAAGTGTTTAAGAGACGCCAGAAACAGAGCTCTCTCCACAGTTATTTTGCGAGACAGGACTCCAGTGACTCTCAAGGTGGTCCTAGTGGCATTAAGAAACAGAGAAGAGAAGCAACCCCAGAAAAGCAATTGGTACCTAGGGTGTTGATGGAAGGGATTCCCCTTCCAAACTGTAAACAATCCAATCTCTCTCCTCCTCCAGTCTCCCATACACTAAGAAGAATCTCCAATAAAGGTAAGTGTTATGCTGTTAATGTTTCATTCATCATTTCCCATTGTATTGTTTATGTACTACATCTATATTTCATGTAAAAATTTTTTTTGTTTTAATACTTCTGGGTGTTAGGAACGGATTAATTGTATTTACATTATTTCTTATGGGGAAAATTGATTCGCAAATCGTAGATTTCGATAATAGTAGCAACTCCAGGAACGGATTAACTATGAAAAACGAGGGACCACTGTAACAGGCATGTACAGGGCTTATATACAGGGTTTACTAGTATCCACAATATTGGTATCCATGGCATGTCCTTGGAATGCATCCCCAATGGATACGGGGGTCCCACTTTTTTTTTTTAATCACCCTAACTTGATGGAATGTAGGTAGTAGGTTGGTAGACAGCAACCGCCCAGGGAGGTACTACCGTCCTGCCAAGCGAGTGTAAAATGGAAACCTGAAATTGTTTTACATGATGGTAGGATTGCTGGTGTCTTTTTTCTGTCTCAAACATGCAAGATGTCAGGTACATCTTGCTACTTCTACTTACACTTAAGTCACACTACACATACGTGTCTTCCTCTTTCTTTCAACACACCGGCCGTATCCCACCGAGGCAGGGTGGCCCAAAAGGAAAAAACAAAAGTTTCTCCTTTTACCTTTTACATTTAGTAATATATACAGGAGAAGGGGTTACTAGCCCCCTTGCTCCTGGCATTTTAGTCGCCTCTTACAACACGCATGGCTTACGGAGGAAGAATTCCGTTCCACTTCCCCATGGAGGCAAGAGGAAATAAACAAGAACAAGAACTAGTAAGAAAATAGAAGAAAACCCAGAGGGGTGTGTGTGAATATATATGCTTGTACATGTATGTGTAGTGTGATCTAAGTGCAAGTAGAAGTAGCAAGACGTACCTGAAATCTTGCATGTTTATGAGACAGACAGACACCAGCAATCCTACCATCATGTAAAAATTACAGGCTTACGTTGTACACTCATTTGGCAGGATGGTAGTACCTCCCTGGGCGGTTGCTGTTTACCAACCTACTACCTAGGACATATACATGTACACGCATATATATACACACCCCTCTGGGTTTTCTTCTATTTTCTTTCTAGTTCTTGTTCTTGTTTATTTCCTCTTATCTCCATGGGGAAGTGGAACAGAATTCTTCCTCCATAAGCCATGCGTGTTGTAAGAGGCGAATAAAATGCCAGGAGCAAAGGGCTAGTAACCCCTTCTCCTGTACATATTACTAAATGTAGAAGGAGAAACTTTCGTTTTTCCTTTTGGGCCACCCCGCCTTGGTGGGATCCGGCCGGTGTTTTTGAACGAAAATTTGATGAAGACAGAAATGGGGCACTCACTTATAAACAGGTTAGTTCCGGGGCTATCGCGGGTAAAGAAAAAACAGTCTTTTTTTCACATCAAATACCCTACCACCCGACTTACCCAAGCTTTTTTCCGCCCAAACCGGTCGAAAGTCAAAATGACACAAGTCAACCTTACTACGATATCAACATCCAGCTGTTTTTTTTTGGCATTTCTTTTTTTTACTTTACTTTTCTTGTTTTTAGTACTGTATTTTATATGTAAGGTTTAGGATAAACACTGTGTCAGCACAAAATTGTTTATTTCCCAGAAATTGGCAACAAAAATGGCGTAAGTCGAGGGGTCATATGTCGAGCAGGCTGTAAGTCGGATAATCGTAA